AAAAAAAAGTTTAAAGGCCCCCTTTTGAACAAAAAAAAAACCCCGACACCTTTTTCGGCGAAAACCCGGAGATGAAAAAAGGTTTTTCCCCCCCTGGGTTTTTCCCCCCCGAATTTTTCTCCCTAATTTTTGGGGCTTTTTTTTTATTAATCAGGGGGGTCTTTTGGGGGCCCCCCTTTAAATGGCCCTTCCCCAAGTTTTGGGGGGGTTTCCGTTACTTCTTTTCCCAAGGGGGTGGCATTGGGTGGCCCTTCCCAAGTACCAAGGGGGAGAAAATAGGTGGGCTTTTTCCCCAAAAAAAAAAAAAACGCCCCGGGGGGGTGGGAAACCAAATTGCCCGCCTTTCCTGGGGGGGGGGTTTTTTTTCCCCCCCCCCCCCCCCCCTTCAAGTACGCGTGCTATCCGGTCGTTGTAGAGTGTGCTATCTTCCTTGGTGCGAGCAATAAGAGTGTACACCCTCCTCTACACTGCCTGCCAGTAACGAAAGGAGCACGGGAACGCTTCCAACGCCTTGCGCTGCTTCCCTTGCGCGATGAGTTGTTCTGTTTGGTGTGAGGTGGTGCTGCTGTAGGTTGGTGTGAAAGTTATCTCGACGTCCATGTATGTTCTCCTTGGGGAAACAGGCAAGCGACTAGCTTCCGTACCCCCGGGAGGGCGCGGGGGGGGGTGTACTCATAGTTGTGCATGCCGTAGTCGTTATGGCAAGGAGAACATACATGGACGTCGAGATAACTTTCACACCAACCTACAGCAGCACCACCTCACACCAAACGGAACAACTCATCGCGCAAGGGAAGCAGCGCAAGGCGTTGGAAGCGTTCGCGTGCTCCTTTCGTTATAGGCAGGCAGTGTAGAGGAGGGTGTACACTCTTACTGCTCGCACCAAGGAAGATAGCACACTCTACAACGACCGGATAGCACGCGTACTTGAAGGGCACCCACTGTCTGCTCTTGGACAAGGCTTTCGAGACCACACGGACCCCCCCCCCCCCCCCCCTCCCCCCGGGGGCCGGCCCCAACTTTCTTTTCTCCATCGCCCAAAACTCCCGGAAAAAGGGGTCCGCATCCTCCCTGGGCCCGGGGTCCGGGGGGCACACAGCCCCCTGGTGCATCCTGAGCGCGACCTCCAAGGGGGGGTCTCCCCTCCCCCTTGAATTTCCTCCCGCCTTTTTTTCCTCCACCCCCTCCTCCTGGTCCTGGTCCTGGTCCTGGTTCTCCCGAAACCCCCGGGCGCGGCGCAACAACTCCATCCCCCCGTCCAACCCCCCCGGCTTGAACACCCCAGCCCCCAAAAAATGCAGGCTCCCGGGCCCAAAAGGGTGTTTTGCCCCCAGCGTGAACTCCCCCCTCCCCCCCGCGGGCCGGGAGTAACCCCCCCCCCCCCCCACCCGCCCCGGGGGCCAAAATCCACCCCCGAGGGAGAGGAGGGGCCCCCCCCCCGCCCCCTGGGTTCTGGCCCGCT